GTTTAGGGAAGCAGTCGCTGCTGCTTTCCCAGGTGAGATCTCTCCTGGGTTCCACGGGATCTCCCGGCGTGCGGTCACCCAGAGCTTCGATCAAGACTGGGCCCTGGGTTTATATGGGGGCCTTAATGAATAGAAAAGGGTTTTGGGGATCATTATACTATACTTATAATAACCCCCAAAACAGTACTGGTAACTACTTAGAGGTCAGGCGCTTCAGCATGAATAGCAGGTTTTCTGCCAACAGCTCCGGCAGCGGAAAATCCTTAAACTCAAGCTTTTTCGCGCAGCCCTTTTCCTGTGAGGTGCTGTCACTGGCAGTGGCTTCATGTGCTAATGCCCTTTCCGGCCAAAGTGCTGGACTCCTTGCCTTATCAGCGCGTCTTGGCCTGGCGAATGTGGGGTTATACAGGGGGTTCAGGGTTTGAGTCGGTCTGAGGGTGTGGTCTTTGTTTTTTCGTCGTGTTCAGAGTGTTGGCGCACTGCTAGCTGCACCGTGTTTACTCTTCTGCTTGTCCTTTTCGGGTTGCCACCACGCGCATTTGTGCCTGGAAGCTAGAAGGAAGTCCCAAGCTGAGTATGTGTACTTGAGCCTGTTTGAAACCTGAGCCTCATGATTGTAGCTCCCAAAGAACATCTCGTCAAGCCTTACTTAGCTCAGCTAAACGACAAGCCACAGCTGATTTGCACGAAGAGTCCTTCAGAACAGTCAGCTCATCAAAGCCACCGGCCTGATCACATGACCTCTCTCCACAGGTCTTATCATCAAATCACGGATGTCGCCCCCGACCTGGTGGCATAGTCGACATGATATCCGCACCTTACGAAAGAGCCTTTTCGATCGATAAGTCCTGGGCTAACAAGGCGCCACTCAAACGCAAGCGCGGAATAACAGCAACAGTCCTTGGCCCGAAAGAATCCATCCCAGGTTCTTCGCTCTTCCAGAGGTGGGGTGGTCGGGGCAATCCATCTGCTGAAACTTTGATTAGCCAGATTTTGTCCCTTTTTTGTTTGCTGTCTCAGGGTTTAGGTTAGGTGTCCTGCCCAGGGTGGAACGGCTCGTGGTTGGTTCCAACCTTGCTCTTTGCACCTGGTTTTGCTTCGACACTGGCTGAGCCAGCTTTGCCTGATTTAGGCTACATCTACACTCGGGTCTACAGCGCGGAGCTCTGAACATAGCCTCGACAAGCCCGTGATATTGAGAAGGATCTCATCCGTAGCCCGGAGCTTGAAACGCTCTTGACGAAGGTGGGTCGTGCACCCGCCGGGCGGCTTCCAGCCATCGATCTGCAACTCTTTCTTCCACAGCAGTTTGTTTTGTTTGTTGTGTGCTACGGTGTTGTTGGTTTCGAGGTCTGTGAACCCTTGCAATACATGTTTCAGAGCTGACGAAAGGCGTGTGGTTGAAAGGTTCGTTTTTTGACTATTCGAAGCTGTTGGGGATGGGCGAAGTCGTGTGGATCCGGATGTCAAGAAATTCTGCTAAGCCCGCAGCACTCTCGAGAAGAGGACTAGCAACTTATGCCTTTGAACCCTCAGAACACTCGCAATTCTGATGATTTGGTTCTGCGGGTTTGCACTGGCTGTGGCTGTATAACCCGCGGATCCTATCATGATACCGATCCTCGAAATAATTGTCTGAGAGCGTGCCAAGGCTGGGCGGTGGCGCCTCGCGCGGGAGCTGGGAGCAATGTACCATTGAGACTTTTACGGCGTCTCGGAAGCAAGAGGCAGGCAAGTCGGCCGGACGGTTCTAGCTTCAGTGAATTCCCTGGGCCTTGTGATCATTAAGTCCTCTTTTTGGATTCTTACAGTGAGGATCCGTTTACATCGGATTTGCACCAGTGTCTCCTATGCTGAAACTCCGAAACAAACGCTAAAGATCGATCCGAATCGAAGAGCCCTCGATCCGAAATCCGCAAAAAGCTGAAGTGCCAAGGATCCACACAAGGCATTGTCGACGTTGGTCCGATGCATCTCACAGCTGCAACTTGCCCGACAAGTCTTCAGCAGCCTTCAGTGCTTATGGCGTTGAGGTTTAGGGTCTAGGCCCTATAAGCCCAGAGCCCGGAGACCCAATCCCCAAACCGAAACCCTCAACCCTTTGGGGGTTTTAGTCCGAGGGCGCAGGGTCGGACAGCTGCTATGATGGCTAGGTGGCTAAGGAGAGTGTGCAGGTCATGGGTTCATGTGGTCGAAGTGCAACGTGGGAGTCTCAAGGAATTAGAGGTATACTGGGGTCCTTGTAATCAGTAGGATCGTATCCTTTAGGGTTCGGCGAGCGGGTCCTTCATTATGTGCTGAAATTTTCCTCTTGGGCCTGGTCTGACAAAGCCATTGCAGCTTGCAGTCAGCTATTCATGCCGTTTGTCGACAAGACCGAGTATGCCGATTCAGCAGTGGTTTGTCGAAGGAAGTTGTTGCTGTTGTCGTACCATTTTTCAGGCAGCACCTTCACTGCAGCAGCTGAGCCTGCACAGAGCCGTATCGTACGATAATTTCGTGCAGAAAGCTCAGCATAATCTACTGCCTCGAGTTCCTTTGAATGATGTAGAAGCCTTCACCGTCCCTGAGGCTGAATAGCACCGGTGGCCGTCAGGAGGCCTCCTGTGCGGGTCATCTTCAGCAGCAAGGGCCTGGGTCGAAGCCGCAAAAGCTTGGGAAAGCAATGAAATCCTTCAACGTCACGTAGCCCTTGCTGAGAAGTGCCTGCGGCCCCAGCGCCAGAAACCGCAAATACATCCAAGACGACTAAATCGAATGGCCATGGATTCTTGGGCACCTCCCCAAAACCCAGGACCTTGAAGCCTAAACCCCCACACCCCTAAACTAAACCCCCCAAAGCCCGAAAGCCTGAAGGCCCCAAAGCAGCTTTGCTCGCAGGAGTTCTTGGGCCGGCTGCCTCTCATCTTCCGCCTCCTTGTTCTGACGCTTCGGAGAGACAGCTGTTCTAAATTCTATAGGAGCCCATGAGCGTGGTAGGATGTAGAGTTTGCGGTTTTTTGATGTTTCGGTTGTGAGGGCTCATGGCATGATCACTTCCTGCAATCATGATTGTAATTAGCCCCTGAGGCTGTGGGCACAATCTATGAGCCTCGCAGTCTATCCCTGATACCTTCTGCAACTGTATGCATATCATCCGAAGTACGCAGCCCCCGTCTATCATTCAAGCTTATGCTATCACGGCTAGAAGTGCCTGGGGCCGGTTGATAGCTCTCGACTCTAAGGGTAAAAAAGAAGACATAAGCAAACACTGGGATACGGATAAGTATCCCCCACATAATGAAGCGCAGCCAGGTAGGGATATGACTGTAACATGCTTATGCTCATGTCCTTCGGGGGCCCTATAGTAAAACCAACCGGAACAAGGATCCTGACTGAGACCCCCCAAAACGCAGAGCTCAGAACGCAAATCCCTAAACCCTAAACCCTCAGACCCCTAAACCCCTAAACCCTCAGACCCCTAAACCCCTAAACCCTAAACCCTCAAACCCCTAAACCCTTAACACATGCGAACCGGAACTTTGATGGATCCGAGTTGAACTACGTCCTAGGACAAGCTGCGAAGCTGCCCCAGGCACGGCAAAGACTGCAAACAGTGAGGGCTTGAGGGTTTAGGGTTTGAGGGGTCGGGGTTCAGGGTTTAGGGTTTGAGGGTTTTCAGGTTAAGGGTTTTGGGTTGTGGACATTTCGGGTTTAAAATCTTTGGGCTAGTGCATTATATGGCTACTTGTCCTGCCGTTGTGGAAGGATGGTTGACTGTTCGATTTCTTTTTGGTGCTTTCTTGGGCTCCCAGTAAGAGCTTCCCAGCAAAGGTTTCCCAGTCCAGATAGAGCCTACCTGAAGCCCGAAGCTCGGGACATCCAAACAACCTTAACTTTTACAATGTGCCGAAATCCTGAAGCATCCCCAAAACCCTTAGCCCAAAAGCTGTGAAATCTTCAACCCTGAGGCTCACGGTCCCAAGCGTCGACCTCAACAACCCAAACCCGTCAACCAAGCCTCAAACCTGAAAGCACCTCAACCCAAAACCTGAAAACCTTAGCCTGATTTTCGTTCATGCATGCTCGTCAGCCCTGAACCCTGCAATTCAAAAACCAGAAAAAAACGCCTTGAGGCATCCGCAGCAGATCCTTGTACTTTGTTGAAGCACCTCCCCCTGGCTCGGGTGCGCCGAGGGGGGCGGAGTGTGTGGTGTTTAATATAGGGGCCTAAATAATTACCTATACTATTCTGAAAGTTCGTTATTGTAGTTATAGTTATAGTATGATGGGCACCAAAACCTTATTCTAATTATTAAGGCCCCTACATGAGGGTTCGGTAAGTTCCTCCGTTGGTTCTGCAGGTTCCAGGGTATCAGTCATTGCCTTTTTTCGATTCAAGCTTACCCCAAGGGTCCAAGTACCCAATAATCATATACTCTCCAAAATCCTAACCTACATAGCTACTATCCTAAAGCCGAGTACCTAATTATTGGGTCCTTTGGACCCTTAGGCTTAGAGTTTGGATTTTTTTGGAATGGTCAATTTTGTTTGTTTGAGGTGTTGGACTGCAAGTTGGGGGGTTGAAAGGTTGGGGAAGGGACACATTTCCGCAACTCCCCTGAGCCTAAACTCAAGCCGTCTGACTGATCTTGTTTACCTATCAGACTTGAGACTTAGGCCCATAAACCTTTGGACCATATAAACCCTATAATCCTAAGTCCTAGACCGTAATGCTCGAAGCTGCTTCCAAGTGTCAATCCTTCAATCCAAATGTCAAGAGGGGGATTGAAGGCCTTTTCGATGCATGTTCCAGTGTCTTAGCATCCAGAGGCTCGAACACTGCGGGACGCAGGCTCTAGGTGTGCAGAGCTTGATCCGGACCACCCGCAAGTTCCACACCTCTATCTTCAGGAGGTTCGAAGCTGACTAGGCGTTGAAGTTCTGAGCTGAGAGAAGGTCCGGCGATCAGGCACTTTTTCAAGCTCCTGAAGTGGAGCTGGGAACCATCAGTGGACGCCATGGGCCAACAACTTCAGCCAGCAGGAAAAGCTTTAGCCATCGACCTCCCTACAGGCATTGATGCAAGCAAGGGATGGAAATATGATTCCGTCTGCAATGTGAATGGAAAGGCAGTGGCGGTGCCGTGCTATGCTGAGAAGATTTTGGTTGTGGACCCTGCAACTGGCCGGGCTTCGGCCATCGACCTCCCTGCAGGCATTGATGCAAGCTGGGGCGGTAAATATGATTCCGTCTGCAATGTGAATGGAAAGGCAGTGGCGGTGCCGTGCTATGCTGAGAAGATTTTGGTTGTGGACCCTGCAACTGGGCAGGCTTCGGCCATCGACCTCCCTGCAGGCATCGATGCAAGCAAAGATTGGAAATACCGTTCCGTCTGCAATGTGAATGGCAAGGCAGTGGCCGTTCCGGCACATGCTGAGAAGATTTTGGTTGTGGACCCTGCAACTGGGCAGGCTTCGGCCATCGACCTCCCTGCAGGCATCGATGCAAGCAAAGATTGGAAATACCGTTCCGTCTGCAATGTGAATGGCAAGGCAGTGGCCGTTCCGGCACATGCTGAGAAGATTTTGGTTGTGGACCCTGCAACTGGGCAGGCTTCGGCCATCGACCTCCCTGCAGGCATCGATGCAAGCAAAGATTGGAAATACCGTTCCGTCTGCAATGTGAATGGCAAGGCAGTGGCCGTTCCGGCACATGCTGAGAAGATTTTGGTTGTGGACCCTGCAACTGGGCAGGCTTCGGCCATCGACCTCCCTGCAGGCATCGATGCAAGCAAAGATTGGAAATACCGTTCCGTCTGCAATGTGAATGGCAAGGCAGTGGCCGTTCCGGCACATGCTGAGAAGATTTTGGTTGTGGACCCTGCAACTGGGCAGGCTTCGGCCATCGACCTCCCTGCAGGCATCGATGCAAGCAAAGATTGGAAATACCGTTCCGTCTGCAATGTGAATGGCAAGGCAGTGGCCGTTCCGGCACATGCTGAGAAGATTTTGGTTGTGGACCCTGCAACTGGGCAGGCTTCGGCCATCGACCTCCCTGCAGGCATTGATGCAAGCAAAGATTGGAAATATTTTTCCGTCTGCAATGTCAATGGCAAGGCAGTGGCGGTACCGTGTAATAGTGGGAAGATTTTGATCGTGGAGCTGTCGCAACCCACAGTGTTCAGCCTCAGGCTACACCACAGCACTGTCCAAAATACACCCGTTTTCGCCGAGCTGGTGGCAGCTTTGCTGAGCTACTGGATGTACACGGACGAGCCGGAACCCCCACATCTCGAGCATGCTTCCATGCAAGTTCATCGAGTGGTTCAGCCAGGCGAGTTTGGTTCAGCCGTGAAGATCGCCAGCGTCACTGCTGACTTACTAAGTGGCAAGGTGCTGTACCTCGTCTTCAAGGGTACTTCCTACATCCTGGATTTTCTGAGCTGGAATCTGGAGCTGAATCACGCCATGACCCAAGATCCCGACTTCTTCGTGCACGGCGGAGCAGCAGGCACGCTTCACGCGGCAAGCTTCTGGCTTGAGGACGGCTTGTTTCAGCGGCTGAAAGAGGCAAGGGAGAACGGGGTGCGGAGGGTCGTCTTCACAGGCCATTCCTTGGGAGGAATGTATGCAGCATTGACGTTCTACATGCTTTGGAAGAAGTTGGATGCAGCTTCGCAGGATTTTGTGTCCCTTCTGTCGCTAGGATGCCCAGTAGTACCCTTACTCCCTTTTTGTAGTGCTAGGTTCCTTATAAAGTTACCCAATACCAAAAAGGGAACCCTTTTTATTCCTAGGTTGCTGGGCATCCTAGGTCGGGTTTGGACGTGCGGTGCGTCAGCTTTGGCTCTCCGATGGTTTTCGGCGGTGGCTCCCAACAAGCACAGGGATTCATGGACTTTGCGGCGGAGCGAGCCGTGAACTACATCAATGAGAACGACCCCTGCCCGCGTGCCTGGGGCGCCATCAATCTCCGGCAGTTTGTGGAAGTGGCGACCAAAAGCGTCCAGAAGGGATTGGTCGACGAGCTGGGCAGCGTCAAGGGGTTTGTTGCCTCGCAGGTCGTTGCAGCAGCAGCACAACAGGTACTAAACCGATCGGACTTTTACCTGTTGGAGGATTTCGCTAAAAGGTATCAGCACTTTGCAGAGCTAAAGGTCCTGAGTTCTCAGCGGCAGGTCACTCGCTGGAAGGAGTTCCGGCTCACACCAGATTGTCTGAAAGACCACTCGGTGATGGCTTACGTGACCCGGCTCTTCGATGCCTATGACGACAGCCGACCCGAGTGCCATGTTCACACCCAGATTGCCCGAGTCGAGCAGTCTCGGACCGTACTCAGGGGCGGAGCCTAGGTCAGCCTTGGCAATCCCTTCCTGGGAGCCAAACATCCGACAAGGATCGGGTCAGCATATATAGAGTTTTGGCCGGTAGCCAGCCAGAAGAAGCTGGCAGAGGCGAGTGCAGACATAAACATGTGTGCCATTGCATGACAAACACCTTCACCGGAGGCGAGCTTTTGCTGTAGAGCAGCTTCATTCACACCTTCCGTGTGGAATGAACCAAAACCAACTGAACCCGCAAGATGGTGCAGGTGGACCTATCCCGGGGAACTTCCGTGCGGCGACAGCGCGGCTGCAGCTGACGAAATGTGGCCTGGCTTCGGCAGATTTAGCGTCGTCAAGGGGTGTTGGGCTCTGGGGCTTCAGGGTTCATAAAAAATTTGGCTTGAAGGTTCCTTTAAAGGGTTACTATAAGGGTACTATAAGGGTTTCTTTAAAAAGGGGTACTATAAGGGTTCAATCAGCAACAGGGTAGTTTCGGGGGGGGCCTTCAAGGGGTTTGAGGCTTCAGGGTTGAGACCTGGGTGAGATCAAAGCTGAGGGAGCAGATATTCCAACCCAGTGCCGGGTATGTTGTTATTATAATATTACAATATTATAATATTACAATATTATATTTAATATTGTGATATTATTATATTACTGTATTATAGCCATGGAGTCAACGATGTTCAACTGACTGCCGTGTCGACTTTACCAGCATTGCACCCGCCTGACTTGCCGCAGTCAGAATGACCATCATGTGACCACAACAGTTTTGCATTCGTGGAATAAACATGGCTAAACTACTTGTAGCGTAAATTGCGACAACAACGATAGGAAGGGCATCAGCACAAATCGCCGCCGCCAGCAGTGGCACCATCAGCAGCATAGCGAGCATCATGGCCCCACCAGGCCACGACAATACCGGTAGCCTGGCATCATCATCAGCATCATCGCCACATTCGATCATGATCGTGGTCTTCGTCTCCATCATCGCCACCACAATCACAATCACCATCATCATCATCATGATGATCATCATCATCACTCAGAACATCGCCGCCTGTAGCATGACTGTATCCAAAGACACCACTACCACCACCACCACCACCACCACCACCACCACCACCACCACCACCACCACCACCACCACCACCACCACAACCACCACCAGCATCACCGTGAGTATCATTAAGGCTGCCTACCACCACCACCACCATCATCGTCAGCATCCCCATCATCACCATCACCATCATCACCATCATCATCATGATGATGATGATGATCATCATCATCACCGTCATCATGGGCGTTATCACCATTATTGTCGTCATCGTAATCTCCGCGCGAATCATCTTCATCGCTTGCAGCGTAACATGTGACACTCCTGCTGTGTGTTCTCTGCGGTCATTTCAACATTCGTGCTCATCTTTCAGTTCAACTTTAAGGCGGATCTTTAGCGATGCTGGTACCTGTCTTCCCTATCCAGTGGGCAGCGTTCGAGCCCGTCCTGGAACAGCGGTGCATGTGACTAGTAAGCATGGGCGGCCCAATGCCGTCTGCAAGTGTGATATCCGGGGTCTCTATCGGAGCAGGAATGCTTGAAACACGTAAGCATTCCAGCCTAAAGCCTTCAAGCTTAAAGCCCTGAAGACCTAAAACACAGGGCCTTACACTCACACATACAAATACATACACATACATACACATGCATGCATACATACATACATACGGTTGTGTGCACAACACGCAGACATGTCTCTTCTGTGTTCAAGGTGTTGTGCTGCACGCCGCGCCGGGTGCGGCGCCAAACTCGGCCCTTCTGCGATCAGCGCTGGGGGCTCTTCAAAGGAGCTCACTTGGATTGAAGCCAGGTTTAGTTGGAGTTTCGCGGGTCTGATTCTGATGCCTCAGGATGCTGGGTTTTGTCGGCCTGGCGGGTTCCCACACCCTGAAGTTTGAGCTAACTTCTATTGCCCAAGCCGAAAGGTTCGGTAAACACTTTGCAGCAACAGCCGTCACAAGAAAAGAGCAGTGTAGTGCTACTGAGGGTCTAGGTCACTTCTTCGCTCTTCCGTGGCCTATTCTCTCTGGATTGATTCAACCATCTAAACCCTAAACCCTAAACCGCACGGCAGGCTGGCTGAGGAGCCTAAGACGAAATCTGGAAAGGCGTGGGGAGCGGATGGGGCGAGGATGTGGGGGGTTTGCTAGGACAACCGGGATCTGTTCTCTGGGCATGAATGCTCTCAAGTCTATGCCCTGAGCCCTGCATCCGAAAGCCCTCTGAACCCTAATAACCTTAAGACTTAACAATATTATAAAAGAAGTTCAGAAGGACCTACTAAACCGTAGCCGCAAGCCTTGTCTCTCACGGCTAGAGTGGGCCCAAAGCCCTCTAGGAGTTTCAGAGGATAGCTTCTTTGGTTGGAGCTCAGGGTTAGTAACAGCTATCAGCTATCAGGCTTTCGTCGTTTGTTGTTTGAGCCTTACCATCTATAGGTATGCCTCCCATGCTTTGAATCAGCAGGGCTAGTATCCCATTTCCTTACCTCCAACACCCGAACGCAGAGCCGGCTGTCCGTACCCTGAACTCTCTTTTTGTAGGAGGCTCATTATCCCTGAATCCCAACCCTCAGTGCCGAAACCCTGAGCCCTGCGAAACCTTTGAATCCTGAATCCCCAAACCCGGAACCCTGAATCCAGAAAAAAACCCAAACCCTAAACCCTTACTTACGGTAAAGACGAAATCAACACAAACTAGACTAGACCCGACCTGAACCCCACAAACAGCCTACCATTCACAAGAGTGGTATAAGGACGTCAGTGAACCCGAAGCAGCAAACCCTAAACCCCTAATCCCTTAAACCCTAACCCCTACTAACCCTCAACCCTCAACCCCCCTGTGTGGCGCGAGCTTCCAGCCTCCAGGCTCCCATCGACAACCGGAGCTTTTGCAGATCCCTGCCGGCCCAAGCAGAGCGTGCAGCGGAGGAGTACCTTTAGGGGTTGAAGTGTTTGAGGGTTATAAAGATGGTAAAATGAGGGCTTCAAAGGATTATATAAAGACTAGATGGCCTGCAAGAGTTTGTTTTGGGTATCGGGGGTTCAGGGTTTAGGGTCTCAGTTTTTGGAGCTTCATTGGGTGTAGTTATACTGAAATGCTGCATACCCCGTCCTCTGCAAACGAAGCAACTTTAAAGTTGTTTTATTAGCCACCCACAAAAGTTTGTTTGCTGCTTCCAACTTCGAAACTTTGACTTGGTCTCTTGCCTGGTTGATAGAGCATTCAGGACTTTAGGGCTGAGGATTGAAGGGCTCCCTTCCGAGGACCTTTGGCAGCTCTCCTCCATGTACGAGCGGGCTGCGCAGGAGCTTGGCGGGGGGGGGGGGGGGTTCATACATTCTGAATGCGGCTTCCTGGGATGATGAGAGTACTGCACTGCTATGCTCGATTGAAGCATCTGATGGAAATTACGAGCCCCAACAGAAGCCGCATACGATAGCTTCAGCAACGTACGTACACGTGCATCCAAAATCCGCCGAAGGAGTCGACAACCAGTCTTGGATCTGCAGCTCTGGATGCATTGTGGCTTTTGGGTATGGTTTCTGGCCTCAGGATTGGCTCTCGGGCTTGTATGGAGCAGCGCTTACAGGGTCTAGAGGACGCGTGCCCGGCAAACCGTTGAGACCTAAAGGCGGCTAGTCCTCACACCTTCGCAGCACCCTCTCCCTAATCCTGAACAGAGTGGCCCAGCACCATCTTGATGTTGGACGTGGGAGCCCAGTTTAAACCCTATAAGTACCTGATAGCACCCACAAGAAAGCAACTCACTATGTTCTCCGCATGCAACCGTAAAGCACCTTATAACGACCTTGCACCAGAAGAGTGCAGTTTCAGGGCTTAAGGGTTTTAAGGGGCCTTGAAGCTCTGGGCTTTGGTTAGCGTTTCAGGGTTCGGTTTGGGGTGTATGTAGGAGTTTAAGGATGTTTTGGGCCACTAGCTAGATCCATCGATGGTTTAAGGTGTTCTAGACTAGTTGAAAGCCTCAACCGTGATCCGGAGCCACCTATGTCGCAAGCTAGGAAGTCCCCATGCGGAGGAAGCTGCAACGACAGCCACAGAAAAGCCCACAGCCGGCAAAGTTGTACATCACGGGCTCGGACAGTCCCTGGATTACAAGCACAAAAGACCAAAGAAGCGCTATTGCGAGTATGAGTCTAAGCCCTGAAGCCTAAACCCTAAAGAACCCTGGCTGACGGAAAATGGAGCTCAAAACATGCCACTGCAGCCTAGAGCCTAGGCCTTAAACTTTGCCCTACACCCTGTAGACCCTAACTCCTAAACCCTAACTCCTCAACCCTACACCCTAGACTAAAGGTCGGCGTCCCGTGTTGCCACCCCGCGAAGCTTTGGAAGTCGGGCTTCGGAGGAGCCTCGGCAGTGGATTTTGGATTGAGTGGGTTTTAGGGTTCAGGGTTTTAGTTTAGAGTGTAGGGTCTTGGGTATTTTGGGTTTACGGTTTAGGGTTTTGGGTCTGGGTTTGCATAGGCGTGCAGTTCGGGGTTTGTTTGTTGGGGTTCCGGGTTCTGGGTTCATAGGACCTGAACAAGTGTAGGTGATATCGAAGTTTAGTGGTTTAGTGTTTGCACGTGGTTGAAGACTGACGGCTTTGCTTCATGGGTTTTGGGTTAGGGCTCCGAGGAGGTGAGAAATGCGCTGCAGTCTAAGGTGAAACAGTGTAACCTGCAAGGTTGTTGCGTGTTTAGGCTGTACGGTGCGGTGCCCATGCGCACCCTCATCATTCGGAGCCCTTCTTTGGAATGCTTATGGACCTTATTACTTATTAGTTACCCGTAATTACAGTACCCTGGCGGGTTTCTAGGTTTGGTATAGATAGAACCTGGTAGGGTTTGAGGTTTGGAGATTAGACAGCTGGGCGCAGGCATCCGCCAGATCACAGCTGCCGAAGCCAGACGACAGCAGCTCTTATGGATTGGATTTAGGGTTTGGGGTTTTGGGGTTTAGGGGCATCATCCTAAACTGTAATGCCCCTCCACACGGCAACAGGGTGCCGGGTTCAGCATAAAGTTTTGTGATCACTGTCTTTACCTCAGGGACACCGTCTTCAAGGAGCACATAGCAATTGTGGAGGATGTTTCTGCCAGTGTGTTTCTTCTTCCTTCAAACCCTGCATTTGTTGTTACTGTTCTTGTTGTCCAAACAGGCTGTGTTTCAAGATCAGCACCTACATACAGATGAGCCAGCTCTTCAGGGTGTTTTCGATGTTCCGCTGCATGGGACGACTGTAGAAATTTGAATCCAAAGCCCGAACAGTCTACGACGACACCAAGAATCACTACTCGTCTGTGCCGAGGTACCCACTTGCATTGACAAGAGCAGCAAAGCTCCGTGACGTGTCGGCAATCCAGAGTTCAGAAATCCTCATGCTTTCCTGGCTTGAAATCCAAAGCTCTCAGACCCTGACCTTAAACCTTAAGCCCCCTACACCCAAAGCCCCTAAAGCCTTAAACCATGGAACCCTACAGTCCCTAAAGCCTTACAGTCGTAAACCATTAAGGCCCTACAGTCCCTAAAAACTTACACCATTAAAACCCTTAAACCCTACAGTTCCTAAAGCCTTAAACCATGAATACCCTTAAACCCTACAGTCTAAAGCCTTAAACCATTAAAACCCTTAAACCCTACAGTTCCTAAAGCCTTAAACCATGAATACCCTTAAACCCTACAGTCTAAAGCCTTAAACCATTAAAACCCTTAAACCCTACAGGTCCTAAAGCCTTAAACCATGAATACCCTTAAACCCTGCAGTCTAAAGCCTTACACCATTAAAACCCTTAAACCCTACAGTTCCTAAAGCCTTAAACCATGAATACCCTTAAACCCTACAGTCTAAAGCCTTAAACCATTAAAACCCTTAAACCCTACAGGTCCTAAAGCCTTAAACCATGAATACCCTTAAACCCTACAGTCTAAAGCCTTAAACCATGAATACCCTTAAACCCTACAGTTCCTAAAGCCTTAAACCATGAATACCCTTAAACCCTACAGTCTAAAGCCTTAAACCATTAAAACCCTTAAACCCTACAGGTCCTAAAGCCTTAAACCATGAATACCCTTAAACCCTACAGTTCCTAAAGCCTAAGCCATGAATCCAACCCTGAAGCTGCCCAGGTGCTCTGCTGCTGTCCATTCGGACTTGGAGCGATGGAGACCTTGAGGCTGGTGTTTAGGAATTTAGGGCTTCTGGGTTTTAGGGGTTTAGGGGGCTTTTGGGGCTTTCGGTGGTTTTAGGGGTTTAGGATGTGGGGGTGCAGGAGCTTGGGGTTCAGGAGTTTGGGGTGTGAGGGTTTGGGGTTTCAGGGGTTTGGGGATGAAGAGTTGAGGGTTTCGGCTTGAAAGGGTTCAGGGTCTATGATCTGGGCTTATCGGAGATCGTAGACTGCAGGCATGCAGGGGTTGCATGGTTTACAATTGCAGAAAGATATAGAAATCATTCTCCGTCGGCAATATGGTACAGGGTGACGTTGTTCTCCAGTGCTTTACGATCCAGGATATTTTGCTCGAGACCCTACTAAATTTTAATCCCGAAACCCGAAATCCTGCGCGCAAACCCCCTGCACCTTGCACCCGTCCACCCTAGATATTTCCACCCTAAATCCCTAAGCTCTAACTTTCTGCCTAAGCTGCGTGTTCCGGCAGGTGGGACCTGTTGAAGAAGTGCCGCGGCTGTCAAATCGGCAGAAACTCCCAAACCCCGAGCCTAGCTGTCCAAAGGACCTAATGATTAGGTACGTGGGGTTAGGAGTTTAGGATGGCAATTTGTACATGTTTGTACTTTAGGCTGTGGGAGTATATGACTACTACGTACTTGCACCCTCGCGCTTTTAGCAGCCCACAGTCATAAATTCAGAAATTGTCATAGCCGAAGGCTAAAGTGTCTGCGTAGGACGTTGGGGGTTGCCTTCAGTCAGTGGCTCGCAGCATGCCAAGTCCGGGATTTCGGCTGTAGGTTCAGCTTCTTCTCTTTGTGTGTGTGTGTGTGTGTGTGTGTGTGTGCTGCTGAGGGTTTGGAACAAAGAAGTGCTTAACGGATATTCCAGCAGTACAATGCTGTTGAGTTGAATTTGTTTTTGTTGAGATCCGCTGCCCAGTCGCTAGGCCATAAACCGTATCGAATGTGACTTTGAACCCTCAAACCAAATCTAGTAATTCTACCCCCGACACCTTCTTTTGGGCTTCAGGTGGTTGGAGGGTGGCATGGTGGCTGGCTGATGGCTGGGGCTGGAACTGGTTGTTGGTGGAGGGCTGGTGGTGGGATGTTGCGATATTCTGCTTTATGGACCGGTTCGATCGTCTCGGTACGTGGCCACAGAATCAGCGATACAAACGGTTCGGTTAGCAATGCACTGCGGTATGCGATAAGAGTATTGTTGAAACAGCCATGCTGAGGCCTTGACGTTCCTGCGTGGCTTCGAAATGCCTGCGCCGGTCACGACAGGCCCCGCGGACTAGGAGTTCTTGAGCCTTCGGTTTCCTTCGGGGATGTAGAGTTTGGGGTTTAGGTTTCCATGGGGATGTAGTTCTGAGAGGCCAAGCCTCAATATTGCAGCTGAAGCCCCGCAAACTCCCAATGGCCCCTTGTGCAAGACCTTTCCGCATGCAATTCATTGATCCAAAGTCACAGAGGGTGTGGAGTCACTGGGAAACCCGGAAAGTATCCCTAAACCCGACATCCAATCCCATCCTGAGTTCGCAGACCGATGTCCCCAAACCTTCAAAGCAAAGCCCCAGAGCCCAGAAGCATCAACCCGAAAACCCTATGAGCCCATGCAAGGTTCGGACCCGCTCGTCGAACTGGCAACCCTGACGTGGCAGCAGCAGTGGCAGGCACACCGTTCCTTAAGGCTCCGAGCATACAAACGGTGCTTTGTGAAGGGCTCGTTGAAGTGGAAACTGTTGGCTTGGGGCTTTGAGCATTGTTGTGGCTTACTGCTTTCGGATCTTCGGGTCGAGCTAGGGCTTGGGATTTGGAGGGTTTCAGGGTTCGGGGGGTTTAAGGTTTATTTCGGGCCTTTTGGGGTTTAAAGTTTAGGATTGATGGTTTCGCCTAGTCTTGGGCTTTGGAGGGTTCGGATCTTGAGCCTCTGGGCGAGGGGGGGTCCGGGAGTCTGCAGAAAGCGGTGGTGGGGAATCTCTGGCCAAAGAAGCCGCAGCTCGGTTTAGGGTTAAGGATAAACTCCCCAAATCCACGACTCAAAATCACAATCTCCGATCTACAGTCACAGGGATGGAGATCTTCGGGGGTTGCACCCTTGCACCGGACAGGTTCGACACCTTCTGCGTTGTGTTCAGGCTGCTGAGGCTGGGCTTAGGATCCTCGGGTTCAAGTCTAGAATTTTGGGGGTTTAGGATGGTTTAGGGTTGAGGATTCAGGGTTTAGGGTTTAGGGATCTTGGGTTCTTTGGGTGAGGATGTATCTACAAGGGCTCTTCGGCCTTTCAACTTTCAAGAGGAGTCTAGAAGAGTTTCCGAAAGGCTTCATACAGGCTCCTCTAGGGCTTCCTAGGGTTGTACCAGGGCTTAATTGTCGTTTTTTTCTTGGGATTTGGGGTTGGGGGTGTAGGTACGAAAAGCTTGGGATGGTGGGCTCACAATGATGTCGAAGCCGTAAGCCTCCTTATCTCGAGGGCTCGGCTGTTGAAGTCAATGTTTAGGGTTGAGGGTTAATTTAGGGGTTTAGGGTTTAGGGGCTTAGGGTTTACGGTGTTGAGGGGTTGGAGCAGCCAAGGTGGATTCGCTTTCGGAATTCAGAACACAAGCTTCCCAAGCTGAAAAGTCTGGCGCGCACTCTTTTTCTGCCTGTTGGCGGCCGGGTTGGCATCGGACGTTCGTGGTGGTGTCGCAGCTGCTGCTGATCATGATGGTGATGATAAGAATAGTAATCAGAATAGTAATAGTAATAATATGAGTGAGAGGGGAAGAGCAGGAGGCTCAGGAGGAGAAGAGGAGGAGGAGCAGGAGGATCATGACAAGGACGAATCCGGCCAGCAAGATCCAAAAGCGGCAAAGGCCTAAGCCAAGTCGAATATAACTTCTAAGCGCCGTGATCTACATGGTATACTTGCAGCAACATAATCAGCAAACCACCCCTGTCAACAATGTGGCTGGTTGCGGACAGGAGCGGGATCAGCTGGTCAGCGAGGCCAGAAAGATGCCAAAGGATAAGCTCAGTTTCCAAAGGTTGTGGCATAGTCCTCGGCACTCTCAGGATGTAGCCTCCCTCTAAGAAGGAGACGTTTTCCATCTTTCGCGAGTTCGGCGTGCCTGGGTTTGGGTTTTTCCGTGCTGCGCAGTGCAAGCTTTAGAGTTCAAGGGCATGCAATACTCACCCAAATTCTCGAGCCCCTATACCGCGCTTGCTGCCCTACATACAATCCTTGGTCACAACTAGCATGGTAGTGAAAAGAGATTCGGCTTCAGGGTTCAGGCTTACGACTCTCGGCTTGTCGCCGTCTGCACCCTGATCCTTGGAGGTTCATGGGTAGTTGTAAGTAGGGTTACAAGTAGATAACTATACTTATAACCCATATTAGGGACTTATAACCCCGGATTGAGAATGAGGGATCCGTATGCAGAAGGTCGAAGCTGATCTTCAGTACTTTCAGAAGCCACCAGATCCTTCAAATGATCCGAGAAATAGAACCCCCAAAGAGATGCCCTAACTTCATATTAGATCCTATTTGAGAGTCCTCCAGCTGTTGGAAGGGATCGAGGGGGTGTGAGATGTATAGCCTAAAACTACACAGTGGAAGCTGCATCGTGCCGCACCCCCAGTCCAAAGACTTCAACACAGTGCAGTGCTTGGCAATGAAAATCTGTACTGTAGAATTCCTAGGCCTGGACTCCTTGCTTGCCCTTGACCCTCAGAGTTTGTTCATGAAACGTTCCCGAAACCCCTGAACCCTCAACACCTCGATTTTCAGGTGGACGATCTGGTGGAAGAGCTGGCCGCAGCAGAGGTGGAGCGCACATGATGAATATAGATCCCCAAAAGAATCCTTATTCGTGGAACCCCCAACCGATCCCCGACTGATCCTGCATAAGACCCATGATGGGGTTGTTCGAAACATAAACCCCCGCTGCCCTGAAACTGACAAGCCAGACCTGCGATCATGGCGCTGCAGACGGGCGTTCCGGTTTTAAGAGAACCACTATTCACTACCGTGCAGACCTCGACGAGCCTCAGTTGCCCCAGGAGCCCCAAGCCCTAAACGCCGCTTTATGAGAATCTTGAGGGAGGCGGGCAGCATGTAGAACCTGGTTATCCCCAAAACATCCTAGCATTCCAGTCTAGGGATTCCTAGCACCCTCCCCACTTTGAACCAACCTTTCTTCAAGCATCTTGAAGCCATTCGTGAAGCTCGAGCCCTGCAGACGCATTTATCCCCGAACACTGCAAAACTATAAGCGTCTCCTCCTAAACCCTAAACCCTAAACCCTAAACAGCACCTGCAGTCGGAAAAAGGCGTTCAAACCTCTGCGAGTTCTCTTGAAAACACGCAGCTTTACCTGAGAGGCTCGCCTGGCCGAGAGGAAAGAGGAGGTGGCAAGAGGCGAGCAGGAGCAGGAGGCAGCGATGCAGGGTTGCTATAAGGGTCTCGAAAGGGCTACTATACTACTTTAAGACTTCAAGGCCTTACAAGATAAGGTTACTTGAAGCGAACCGTTAAGGATTACTACATTGAGTTCTCTGGGTTGGTAAAGAGCCGCACAAAGGGGGTCTTGCAACTGATTTTGGGGTGGAGTTTCGGAGATAGCCCGAACCCCTCAAGCCCAAACCCCGAACCGCTAACTGGGTTGAGTGCTCGAGTCGTATGGAAGGATTCAGGAGTGAGGTTTTCATGAACTCTCTGACTTGCCCGTGGTGTTTGTCGAGCTCAGCAACAAACCCAAGCCCTGCGAACCTGAAAAGCTTGATTAAAGACGAGACGCGTAACTCGCCTTGATAGACTAGGATTTACAGGGTTCCGGGATAAGGGCTCCCTCAGGACGGACAGGGGATCATGATTCAAGACTTTCATGGTTGAAGAGTCTTGCCTGAGAAACGGCAGTGGAGGCTCTGGACTCCTACCGTCAGAATGAGTACGAGCTGAAGAGCTGGGAGTGCGAGCGCCTGGCAGACTCTTATCTTAAACTGGCTTTTCTTTGGCTCATCTGGGGGCCTTAAAAGGCTTCGTCCGATAACTAGCCATCCAGCCTTGCATTCGAAGCTTCAAATCTGCAGAAGAGAGATGATACTGTAGATGAGCGGCATTGAGCCGTACTCCTCCGCCCCAAACCTTACGTCGCCCACATAAGCAGTGCGGGTGAGTTTTTCTGTCCGGGCTTCGGCTTCGAGCTCAGGGTTTGCTGGTTCCGATTTCGGGGCGCGCGTTTTATCGCAGTTTGGGATCGGGTGTTGTGGTTGAAAATGTGTGACTAGTGGTTGTCGGGTGTCCGGGAGGTCTCAGGTGCCGCCAGGAGTCGCGGGTAGCGTGAGTTTCGCGCATGAACTGCGACCGACCCGAAAGCTCAAGGAAGTGTGAAGTCGAGTTTCGATTGCATGCCAAAGTGTGGAAATGCAGCAGACCCTCAATCTTTAGCTCAACTTGGCGACGCTCCCTTCAACTTACACCCACAAGAAAACCGGAGAATCAGTGAGAGACCACCAAGGAATCGCTGGCTGAAAGTCGATATGCCACTTGGCTTCACAGGTGTGCGTCGATTTCAATGTTAGAGTTGCTGTGGCGTTACACGCATTCGAGGTGGGGTTTAGGGCTCACTGTCCAGAGCGTAGAGTGTAGTGTTCGGGTTTAGGATTTGCATGTGGGTAAGCCGAGCCGGTTACCCTTTCTTGGAGCTTCACGCTTGGAGATACCGAGAGCATAAACACCAATCTCGAAGCCTTCTTAAACCCTGAACCCGAAGACCTAAAATTTATGTTCCAAATTGTGCATCCATGGTTCTCTGAACAGGGTCTTGTGGATCCCTGATAAAGTGCACACCCCCCTGACACAGTCTGGTTTGCAGCCCGGAGGCCACAAAGCAAATGACCAGCCGATGGGAGGCCGCCGTGGCAGAAGCGGAGGAGTCACCTGGTTTGTTCGGTTTCGGGTTTAGGGTTTCTGGTTTATGCTGGGGTTTCGGGTTTTGGGTTTGCTATGCCCGATCTCTTCGGTTGGGTCTTTGGTGGCGTCAGGATTCGGGAATTGGAGACGTATGGGCCCGAATAGAGGCACAAAAGTAGGATGCTTATGACGAGGGCCCCTTGAAAAGGGGCCTCAATCTGAGAAGCCTCAGGGTTGTACCGTAAGTGTTTTCCGCCTTGTTGCGCAGGGCGGAGGACCATGGAAGGGTTTAGGTCGGAAGGTCCGTGCATTCTGATGTCGCGTCTTAGGCCTCTGCTTTTGCGTATTGGGTTTGGGGTTCGGGGCTTTGGGCTGCTATCTTGGAGTTTTAGCGTTAGGGATGTA